AACTGTGAACCTAGAAACTTACAGCCACTTGTGAAAGAGATGTACTCTTGCTCTGGAGTGTGTTACTGAGTATGTTAAAGCTGTGATGAAATGCTTCTTTTAATCATGTAGTTATAAATTTACAAAATAAATAAATAATGGTTAAAATAATATATGCAGTTTCTCCATCTCAACAAGTTTAGGACAACTTTAAATATAACTTTTTAAAAATATTTTATTTATGTATATAGTATATTTCCTGCATGTATGTAAATGTATCAATGTCATGCAATGCCCACAAAAGTCAGAAGGCATTGGATCCCCTGGACCTGGAGTTATAGACAGTTGTTAATCGCCATTATGGGTGCTGGGAATCAAACCTGAGTCCTCTGCAATCGTTTAGGACAACTTTAAATATAACTTTTTAAAAATATTTTATTTATGTATATAGTATATTTCCTGCATGTATGTAAATGTATCAATGTCATGCAATGCCCACAAAAGTCAGAAGGCATTGGATCCCCTGGACCTGGAGTTATAGACAGTTGTTAATCGCCATTATGGGTGCTGGGAATCAAACCTGAGTCCTCTGCAATCGGTGCTCTTAACCACTGAGCCATCCCTCCAGCCCCCTTAAATAGAATTTTAAAGTCAATATTTTCCCTGGCCTCTAAACAATTTGTAAGAACACTATAGTTTAATTCCATATATATAGTTTCAAGTCTTAGATGAAGATGACTTAATTTCCCTAACCTTCAGTTTGCTTCTCTGATTAGAATAACTTTCCAAAGATATTGTAACAATGGTAAAAGAAGCTATTTATTAACTACATAGCATAGTACCTTGTGCTGGATGCATGACAGCTATTACAATCACCAATCTTTTAAAAACAGCCTACAGCTGTATTCTGGATATTAATTCCTTATTCAGTATATGATTTGCACTATTTTCTCCCAGTCTTTGGATTTTCTTTTATCAGCTGATTGTTTCCTTTGCTGTGCAAAATCCTTAGTGTGACACAATCTCACTTGGCTACTTTGCCTCTATGCCTTTAGGGTTATATCCAAGATATCACCATGAAGATGAATATTGTATAATTTTCTTCTAGCAGATTTAGTCTTAAGTCTATAATTCATTGGAGCTGATTCTTGTGAAAGGAGACAGAAAAGGTCACTCTGCATGAGAATCACCAGTTTTCCATACATCACTTACTGAGGACACTACTCTTTTTCCATTATATGTTCTTAGAATCTCCAAAAAAATTTCAATTAATTGACCCTAGATATGTCTGTGGATTTATTTCTGGTCTCTCATTCCTATTCCATTGATCAGTGTGTGATATCTATGCCCATACTCTGCTGTTTTGATTGTTTTGCAATGTATTTTTGACATCAAGACAAATAATCTTATTTTTTTTAATGGCAGAGTACTTGAACAATTTTTCAAGAGAGGAGACAAAAGAGCTTTACTAAAATATATAGGGGAAAATTGCCCAGTATACTAACCATCACAGAAATGCAGCTTAGAGCCACAATGAGATGGCATCTCATATTAGAATGGCTATTACTAGAAAGATGAAAGACAACAAAAGATGAGGAGAAAGGGGAACCTTGTACCTTGTTTTGGGGATATAAATTAGTATCGCCATTTTATAAAACAGTGTGGAGATTACTCAAACTACTATGACTATCATATGATGCAGAAATCCCATTTCTGGGCATATATCCAAAGGAATTACACTCAGTATATTGAAAAATTATCTTCATTTCCATGTTAACTGCAGCATTATTCACAAAGCCAAGATATGGAAACAACCTAAGTGCCCATCAACAGATGAATGGATTTTTTTTAATGTGGTATTTTATACATTCACAAGAGAGTACAACTCAGCCTTTAAAAAGAAGGAAATTCTGTCATTTGCAGTTCCACAAATAAATCTAGAAAACATTCTACTGTGTGAAATAAGTCAGGCACAGCAGGGCAAATACTGCATAATCTTAGTTAAATGTGAAATCTAAGAAGTTGAACTGATAGAAGAGGGAAAGTGGTGGTTATCAGAGGCTAGGACCGGCAATAGTAATGGATGGAAAAAGGAATATATTGTTCAAAAGAAACAAAGGCACAGTTAGTTAGGAATATTAAATGTAGGTGATCTATCATACAGAATGTTAACTATAATTAAACATGTATATTTCAAAATTGTGGGAAGGTAGATTCAAAATATACTTGCCACTATGAAATAATATATGAGGTGCTATGTATATTAGTCTTATTTTTATTTCATAATGTGTGTATATATTATTTCAACATCACATTGTGTCCTATAAATAGATAAATTAATTGCTAACCTCTACTGAGGAATACATAAGATTCTCATTGACAGTCCTCAATCAGAGCTATTTATCAAAATCCCTTATTTTTAAACATATCGATTCATGAGCTTTCTCCATACCTATGTAGTCTCTCAAGATGAAGAGAACTTAAAATATAGGTGAACACAAGGGAATCAGGTTGCCGAACCAGATTTTATGAGAATTATAGATCATATTCAGTACCAAGTTCCCTAAGGACTCAAAAGGTACAGACCACAGTACAATGAGTTAAGTATTCTTCCTTCAGAAGGCTTGAAACTGTCTGGCACGGATGCCTGTAAATATGCTGTTTTTCCTACATAAACTGCACAAAAGTGGAAGTGGCAGATAAGGTTTTTGATCTGAAAAAGATATTTTTGCTATAAAACATCTGCTTCTGATACTATGTAGGTTATATGATATTTTCCATTAGTCTATCCCAAATAAACGCAAAAAAAGAAAATGGGTTTATTTACAACCAGCAACCTAAGTAGATCTGATCCATCCTGCTAAAAGTCATCTATAGATAAGAATCTTCAGCTAGTAAAGTCCATTATTGTATCTGTCAGGAGTTGAGTCATTACCATTTTCATGAAAGGAGCAACTTTCCTTTCTAACACTGCCTCTGATTTCAAGAACTAAAACCACTAACTATACCTGTCCCCCCCTTCCCCTTCCAGTTTCAGATTAGCATTTGAGAACTTACTTGGATTTTGAAGAAATATAGAGATTGATACTGAGGATGTTCCAAAATTCTTGGGACAATTTAGGCTTTAAATACCATAAACTTGATCTTTAGGTAAATTAAAATTGCCCTAAGAGTC